TTATTGCAATATATTCAAAACTTATTTCATGTTGAGTTAGTTGTCAGTATTTTACCTGCACGTCGTCTTGATTTCAAACATGTTGGAGCCTGGCTCCCTTACCCTTTGGACTGATATCAGTATTTTAATTTAAGTTCAAAGTTCATTAACTTCAAGTCTGACAAATAGTTAGATTAACGGAAATGCATAAAATAACAGTTTTACAAAAGATTGGTTACGGAGATGAAACCCGAATTCAACAGGAAGAAGCTCGCCTATATTAGGAAACATTTCCTAATTTACCACCCATATCTCAAGGAACAATAAGCAAAATAGAGAAGCAGTTTCGCGAGCTTGGTCATGTGGAGCAGATAAAAAAAGCAGCTGACAATGCAATGAGTGATGAACATACATCGAGTGAACAGGCATCCACTACATTCAATGTTAGCCATACATCGAAAGTAAACATATTGAAAGAACATAAAATTCATCCCTATAAAATGATACCTACTCAGGAGCTCATGGAAGACGATTTTGATAGAAGAACTTATTTCTGTGAGCAAATGATTGACATGTTGGATAACAATATCATTCAATTAGAAGACGTTATGTGTTTTGATTAGTGTTTTTCGTCTCTTAACGGTTATGATTGTCGGCAAAATTGCCGCTACTGGTCAACGGAAAATCCACACTGGATGAGAGAAGAACACACGCAATACCCTCAAAAGGTTAATGTTTGGGCAGCGATTGTAGGAAACCAATTCATTGGTCTCTTTTCACGATTTGATTGTGGAGATCATTCCAAGTATAGCAAATTTATATCCTGATCCAGGAAACCCTCAAGTTCCAGTGAATACGATATGGTTTCAGCAGGATGGAGCATCACCACATTACCAAGTTAATGTCCGGCTATACCTCGATACAACATTTTCCAATCGGTGGATAGAGAGGCGAGGATCAATTGAATGGCCAGCGCGATCACCTGCTCTTTCATTATTAGATTTTTTTATGGGGATATGTAAAGAGCAATGTGTACAAAACTAAACCTTCAGATTTATTTGATTTGAAAGAACGAATAAGGCTTGGGATCAGGTCGGTATCGCCTTATATGTTGAATAATGTTAGAAGACAGTTCTATTTGAGATTAGAATGTTGCCAAGACGTTCACGGTGAACATTTTGAACATCTTCTTCGGTAATATCCATAGTTTTTTTTTCGTACTCGTGTTGCATTACATTTTAGTTTTTGAGTGTATTTTATCGAATTTCGGTAACCATATGATTTCAATTTATTTTATGTTAATCGTTGCAATGCACTTGAAAGCGATATATTACAGTTTTGAATAGAGAATGAAGATACCTATCAAACGATATATCAAAAAAACAAATTCTAGTTACATCGTTATCATTTGAATTTTTCTAATTGAAGTAACAGAATGAATATATTTTGGACAAATGTATTCTCTGTTTGAAATCATTTTGCATATCAGCTATAGTAAAGTAAAAAAATGTTAAAAACAGCTATAATAAAAAATAGTAATACTTCCAGAGTCGCATAATAATATGCAACTCATACAAAACCCACTTTGCATATTTAGTTGACTGTCATTGCAGATAATGAAGTGATAATTATCCATTTCATGATATGCCTGTCCAACGTTTTTACTTCATATCAGTCATTCGAAAGAGTTTCTGTTCTCCTTTAAAACCGTGAAATGTAATTATATTCCAGGAAGAGTATTGGTTGAAATGCATCAACTTCATTTTAATGAAAAATGTTTATTAATCATGTCCACTGGACAATCGTTTTGACACTCATAAAGAGGACCATGGTATTACTCCCCAAATCTTATCTACAGACGTTTCTTTCAGATACGAAAATGGGAGAAAAAGCCAATTCAAAACATACGAATTTAAAAAAAATCACATAACGAATTTTTGGATTATAGACTTATGTGAAAATCAGTTGACATCGAGCGGTGATAGAAACATGTCACTAGCAGTTCTGACGAAGAAGTGTTCATTATAGTGACCGCATTATTGAATGTAGAAGAAAATAGTCACAAAAAAGAAGGATGTGGGTCCATCCCATTAATCAAAAGAAGGCAAATCTGGGAGAGTTTCATCATCTTCTCAACGACCTGAAAGAAGACGAGGAGAAATTTTTCCAGTATTTCCGAATGACTCCAGACAAATTTTCAGAACTTCTGGATATTTTAGAGCTTGCTTTGACAGGCAACTCAACTGTCATAAGTACCGTCTGACACTGTGCTGTCAACTGGTGAAATAGCAAAACAAAAAGACAAAGCCTCCCCAGGCACATTTGGACAAGTTGATGCTGGCAAGCGCTGGCCGGCGACGCGCTAACTTGGCCAGTCTGTTAAAGCACGTATCGTTATTTACCGGACAGGATCGGAGAGCTGGAATCCTTTCCGGCGTCGGACACTCTGGGCTGTGCCGTACCGGGCTAGTGGGCGGTTGTACATTCACTTTAATTGTTTCAATCCTATACGTATTTTCACGAGACGGGCCGTGCTGTGCTGTGCCGGATAAGTGGGCGACAAGCTTATATCAACGACTTATTGAAAAAAAAAAAACAACAATCCAATATATTGCTTTGCTGACGACAGCACACTTGTCTGGTCATTCCATTTGGATTTCAGGACATCTGCTACGGAGGCACATCTTCACCGGCAGCAGGAGGTTGCTTATCTTAACAAGTATCTAGAAGTGATTTCGAATTGGGGTGAAAGTAACCAGGTTCAATTCAATGCCACAAAAACCTAGGCATCGGTTTTCTCCAAGAAGATAAATGGTCCCCGATCCGGATATAATAATGTCAGGTCAGACAATTCCGCTTTCTGCTTCGATAAGTTTGTTGGGGATTAAAATGGATACCAATATGTCTTGGCACAATCAAGTCGCTGTAATTGCAAAGGCTGCTTCTCAAAAGCTTGGAACACTGTTCCGAACCAGAAAAAAATATACACACCTCAGCAACTTTTGATGCTTTATGAAGCTCAAATCAGGCCTTCTTTGGAGTATTGTTCTCATGAGCCATCCGTTTGATTAGAGACGCGAACATCACGTACAACCTTGATAGCCATGAACATCTAAGACAGGTTGTAGATGTGTCTCTCTTCTATAGATACTTTCACGGGAATGTTCCAGTGACTTGGCACATTTGATCCCATCAAAAACAGTACATATTATAAAAACGCGACGGACTGTGGCTGCTCCTCGTTTTGAGGTCCAACTCAGTACACCTCGCCCTTCACTGTTTAAGAACTCTTTCATCTGGAGAACTGCGTCAATGTAGAATAATCTTCCTGAGAACGTTTTTCCAAATGGATATAATCTCCAGCGAATCAAATCCAATGTGAATCGCTACTTTCGCAAGGACACCGCTCTGAGAGCGCCCTAAGGATTTTCCTGTACTGCTTGTGTTTAGTCCTTCAGAAAAAACTGAGATGCAGTAGTAACAGCTCCATCTTAAAAGCAATTACCCAAAATAGAAGCTTAACTGGTAAGATCTGTCTTGCACCGACGAAAAGTAAGACTCCGAAACATATTTGTTCTGCTGGAGAAACGGTAAGCTAATGCAATAATATTCCTTGTGAGGAAACTTACACAACTACTAATTCCGTCGTAGTTTTAGCTGTGGAGCTGGCAGACATTTACTAGATCCCACTGTGTAGTAACGTTGGTTAGGCTGAATGTTTCGAATTTTCATTCAGAATATCAACTCCTGTTTTGATTGCTTCAATTATTCAACACTAATATATCTGAAGTGTTTTTTTTCGTTACTGAATATATTGTTTTCCAGGTATTGTATCATGGGGCAATGGATGTGCAAGACCCGGTTATCCAGGTGTCTACACTAGAATAACAAGATATTTGGATTGGATCTTGGAAAATTCTAAAGATGGGTGCTTTTGTCAAGACTGAGAGTAGAAATAAACTAGTTGTAGACATTAATGTAAGGGTCAAACGAGAATGATTATAATCATTAATGTTTCTTCGAAGAAGAACACAATAGCCAGACAATATTTATATTGAAGTACGGAAATAAGAAGAAGGAAATATAGCAGTAATAATAATTGTGTGTTATGTTTAATATACAAAATGTTTAATAATCGTAGCGAATTAAAACTACAGAAAAGATTAGTTCCATTCTTCTAAACTATCTGCTTGAGGTTGAACTTCGATTGGACACATAAGGAGAAGCAGAATTTTATCATAAACATGGTTTGAAAATTGTGAAAATTTCACTTAAGATATTTGCTGAAACGAAAATATACTATTTCTTACATAGTCAGATACTTATATTTTTTTTCTCGTTGACTGACATAGTCAGGGCCTTCCTGACAGTCTTACTGTCGACCGTCCTTAAGTCATAGGCGCACTCAAGTGCAGCGCAAACCCTGATGAAGGTGGAGATGGTGTCTTGACCGTACTGGCCGAACTCACTGGTCTGGTAGTCCCAGGGGGCCATGTAGTGGTACGAGAGCCAATTGCTCTTGTTGATGATGAAGACCAGATTGGTGTCGCATGGGAATCTGTAAGAGAAATTGAGCAATGAATATTGGAATTCATGAATTTTGGAGTTGATGAAGATAAAAGTAGACTAGTCAAAATATCAAAAAGATGAACAAAGCACTAATTCAACGAAGATATGAAACAATTGATTGGATACTTCGTATAAAGACACAACAAAAATAATGAATAGAAGTCCTTCAAAGGAAGCACTTTTTCTAATCAACAGAAATGCATTACTCTTGTCGACGCGCGTTGCACCAACCAAGTTGGCGTCTTCAGTAGATGAAGAAAAAACTTATTCTAAAATTGATCTCTATTCAGAGTACACTTTCATTAATCCGGGCTGTTTGCAATGGGACCTTTGTTAGTGCTTGTTTAAGATTAATTCTACGGCAGTGTTTCCAGTAAAAATGAAGTGAATACTTACTTTTCGCCAGGTTTGAGGCCCCATATTTGCGTAGCACTGTGTATCAACCAGCTCAGTTGAAGGTTAATGGCACATCTGAACCATCCAAGTATGAAAACTGACGCGTATATATTTTCTCCCCAATATTCAGCAGGGGCATTGACAGGTAGCAGCAGGGTGATTATTATGTATAAGGGTATGTACCACCTGAAAAAAATCGAATAATCATTGAGCCCAAAATGAAAAGAAAAAAATATTAAAATTGTTTCTTGATTTGTGAAAATGTTTCAAATTGTTTGATGTTGAGGTAAGAGCAGCTAATTGTATGGAAGAAAGTTAAACATGGGTTCTGAAAAACAATGTTTCCATATAGAATGTTGAACTTTTCTGAAGAAGCCTAACGTCTTTCCTTAGAAAGACGTCATCTATACGACTGACAGAAGACTCAATTCCCAATCGAAGATAGAGGAGGCTCGCCAAGGCGGACAGTTGCAGAGCATAGCTTCGACATTGACAGCTGGACGAGATTCCTTATTTATCTTTCCTGTAACTTCCACTGCAAGGAGACATCACCTATGGGAACCTAGTTCATCTTTGATGTTCGAGAATTGAGTTTTCTATTGGTATCTCAGATAGCGTTTTCGTCGCCGTTTCCTAAAATGAAGCTGGAATGATTTTCTTAGGCAAAAAATTTCACGACTAGATGTAACTGTGTCGAAGCTATTTTTGGGATTTTTGGCATAGTCTGAAGGTTCTCATGCCTGACATTTCGTCTACTACTGTGTAGAACTTATTAAAGACGATGAGGCATTGGACGAAGTGCTCAGGTTGTTCTTATGGCAGGTTCTACATGCAAGGTTAGAGTCTTTGGTTTTCATTCTTTGTGATGGACCTAGTTGTCTCTATCGGTCGAGTTGAATGACCTCGAATGTGTTCAGAAACCCAGAAATTTACGCTTTTTTCCAATGTAGGTGGATCCATAGCTACAAGGGATCCCTGGTGGTGTTCAAAGTATATGGTGCATTTCTTTAATGTCCCTCTCTTTTTCATGATGCACTGTTTGGAACCTTTGGTGTAGTAATGAATATTACTGGAGTTTTTCCCAACACCAAATCGTTATTTTTAACACCTCTTTGTATTGGTTCTTTTAGGGATTTC